AATAGAAATGAATGATGCTCACTCGTCAGGATTCGTGTAACAACTGATCTTATTTTGACCTTCTACAACCTTTTTATACTTCTACATAAAAGATCACTCTTTCCAGATTTTCATGCATTTACGTTCAAAAACTTTCATGAATAAAAACAACTCATGACGTCCAGTCATGCTGTCACATTATTTTTCACTAGTTCTCCAACGTACTTGGTACTCTGTTCTTATTAAACTAGCAGTTGGTTATGTGCAGCGTCTATGCTGTATCAATTAAATATTGTTTTGATAGAGTCAAGTGAAGTTAATGAGGTATGTCTTCTTGTGTAAGTATAAGGTTTCAAAAATGGATTAGATTGTTTAAAAAGTGCTATTTTACAGAGCACAAAGAATGTGGCTTATTAAAGCAAAATTGAAAAGACGCGGGTGCTGGATTTTTTCTTGGCCGACGCTCAAGTGGTAGATTACCTATAGAACTATATTTAAAATATAATAAAAAAATACAATAAAATTATAAACATAAACGTATTCTTACTAGCTTTTATCTTTACGTCACATCGTTCTTCGTGTTTCTTCAACGCTACCGGTTCATGAAAGTCTTCAAAATATTGCACATTTCTCTATTGATAGTAATGGCTGTAAGATGGCAAACAGGCAGTATCCTTCATAACTGTCACGTGACCAACCGAATCGTGTAAAGCCCTCACGTCACCAGACGGGTCCGAATAGCTAATTGCTGCTATAGGTACCCGGCTACTAGAAATAGTACCAATCAATTTAACTTTATCAGTGATCCCCAAAAAGTTTATAAAACACTAGCGAGTAACCGGAATGCGTTGCAATGTAACTCAAAGATAAAAAGTGTTTGTGTTTGAATTATATTTTTTGAATAATTTTTATGTACACAATTTTTTTAACCGTCTAGTGCATACGGTACTCGAATAAATTAGAAGCTTTTTCGTAGCGTGAGTTTGAGCAGGCCATACACAGCTGTCCATGTCATGTGAGAAGCATGGGTGTTCAAAATTTAGTCCACTTGTAGCGATCGATCCACCCCTATAATTTTTAAATTATACTTATATAGCTCATTTAGTACATATAAAGAAATTTACTGCTCCCAGTCCCAAACGGAATATTGTAAAATGCAAGTCACAGTATTAATTCAAAAGCCTGCTATTATGTCAGATTCAGATACAAACTGAAATGTCGCAGTTTGTATTTGATTCAATTCCATCCACCCATGCAATAATAGCTCTGTTTGAAATTATATTTACATAGCTCATATACAAATTTAAAAAATTTAGGGCCCCCGGCCCCAAATGGAATAATGTAAAATCGTTGTACTTTTTCAGAAACCTTTTGCGGCACACACACAACAACTCAGCAAAGTTTAATCGCAATCGGATGAATTGTATAGGAACGCATACGGAAATTATATTTTGTATAAATTATATTTAAATAGGTCATATCAGAAAAAAAAACACCTCATTTAGGGCCCCCGGTCCAAAACTGAATATTGCCTACTTAATTATGTCACACACTAACGGAAATATCGCTGCTTGCATTTGATTAATTTCCACCCCCTCATGCATTAGCTCTGTTTAAAATTATATTTTTATAGCTCATATAATTTTTTAAGAAATAATGCAGGGCCTCAGACCAATTGAAATGTCGCTATTTGTATTTGATTAAAATTCCATCCACCAATGCATTAGTTCTTTTTGACATTATATTTATATAGCTCATATTCATCATCATCATGTCCCTTAGTCCTTGGACCGTTGGGGCGCCACAGATGACATTTGAACTATCCTCATCTACTCGTCTCTGTCTTCTGCACTGCGCACAGCATCGCCCAGTGTTAGTCCTGTCCACTTTTTGATGTTATCCTCCCATCTTTTTCTTTGTCTTCCTCTTCTTCTCCTTCCTCTTATGGTGCCCTGCAATATTTCTTTGGCAAGCCCTCGTTTCCTTGTTACGTGGCCGTACCATTGTAGTTTGCGTTTTTTCAGTCACCAGTGGGTCATCGTACTCCCCGATTGCCCGGCAAACTGTTTCATTGGAGATATGGTCCCTATAGCAGATTCCAAAGATGCTTCTGAAGCATCTCATCTCCATCGCCTTTATTTTCCTTTCAAGATCGGCTGTTAATGTCCAGGATTCGCAGGCATACAGAAAAATGGAGAGGACTAATGAGCGCATCAACCTGATTTTGTTGCTGGGGGGCTATATTTTTGTCGTTCCATTTCTTGAGCCTCTTTAGTGCTGTTGTAGTCTGCGCAATCCTGGACATCAGTTCTGGCTTGGAGCCTTCTTCTGGGATTATTGCTCTTAGGTATTTGAAGCGGCCTACAGTCTCTAGTCTTTCCTCCCCGACCTTAATTTCAGTGGTGATGCCTGTGGTGTTATTTGTCCTCAGTTTTGTCTTTTCAGCACTGATTAGCATGCCGTAGGACGACGAGGTTTTATCGTGACGCTTTACCAGGTTGGCTAGCTCTTCGTTCCCAGCCAGTCCGTCTATGTCGTCCGCAAAGCGTAGGTTGGTGATTGTTCTGCCACCAATGCTGACTGTCCTTTCATGCGCTTCCAGAGCATCTGAAATAATTCGCTCTAGGAAGATTTTAAACAGTGTGGGTGAGAGCATATTAGTGTTAGAAAAAACGAAGGGTAATAAGGGGGGAGACTGTCCGTCTCCAAACATTTCAATAGTAGCGACCACCAGGGCAAGACTGACTTTTCAATATTTACGATCGTGGCTAGCACGAACACACCCAGTCGGGTGAATTAGGAATACCTATGGCACATTGACACCACATGGTATGAACGTCATGTCTCTTTTCACAGCTCGAACCTAGCTCCACTCCTCCACGTCCCGACCTATCGCAGTGGACTTACTTCTCCTCTTTTTCTTTCCTATTTTATCTCTCACCCACTTACTTTCTGTAATAATTCATTGGCTGCCCTTTTGGAAAATACTTCTAAGCTAAGTGCTATTTTTAAATTTTAATTTAATTCTGTTTTTTTTTCTGTTGTTTTGTTCGCTGACGAAGGCTTCCAACCCTCTCGCTCGTTTTAGTTTTTTTTTTTTTTTTTTTTTTTTTGTTTCTTTTTTTTCTAAGCTAAGTGCTATTTTTAAATTTTAATTTAATTCTGTTTTTTTTTCTGTTGTTTTGTTCGCTGACGAAGGCTTCCAACCCTCTCGCTCGTTTTAGTTTTTTTTTTTTTTTTTTTTTTTTGTTTCTTTTTTTTTTTTTTTTCCCTTTTTTTTTTTTTTTTTTTTTTTTTTTTTTGCGTTCCTTTTTTTCGGGTTTAACCCTACTTTGTTTTACTCATTTCACATAGAAAAAACGAAGTAAGTGCCGCCGGCCCGAAACGGAATGTTTTTAAATGGTTGTACCAAATTAGAAACCTTTGAGGGCGGGCGCATATCAATTCAGCAAAGTTTTATTGCATTCGGATGAATGATATAGGAACGCATACGGACATTATATTTTTTTATAGCTCTTATAATAAAAAAAATAAAAAAAACGAATTTAGGCCCCCCTGCCACAAACGGAATATTGTATAATATTTGTATTACTTCAGAAACCTACTTATTATGTCACGTGAGTCATAAACAAAATTTAATGTCGCTCTTTGTATTTGATTAAAATTCTATCCACCCAGGCATTAGCTCTGTTTGAAATTATATTTATATAGCTCATATAAGAAAAAAACGAATTTTGGGCACCTGGCTCAAAATGGAATAATAATTTAAAGTGGTTGTAATTATTCGAAAACCTTTTCGGCCGTATAGAATAGATGGTATAAGAGCGCAAACGGAAATTATTTTTACATAGCTCATATAAAAAAAAAACGAATTTAGGGCCAACGGCCCTAAAAGAAATATTTTAAAAGGGTTGCAATGTCTTTGGAAAATGCGGGCTTGTGGACAACAATTCACCAACGTTTTATCGCATGAATGATATAGAAGTGCATGGTTTGAAATTATGTTTTTATATAGCTCATATAAGTTATAAGAAAGAACGAGCATAGGTAGGGCCTCTAGTTTAAAACGGAATATTTTAAAATGGTTGTAGCTATTTAAAAACCGTTGCGAGCTTGTGCACAACATCTCACCAAAGCTTTATTGCATTCAGATAAATGGTAAAGGAGTGCATACGGAAATTCTTTTTTACAAAGCTCATATAAGAAGAAAAAAAAAGAATTTAGGGCCAACGGTCCCAAAACGGAATATTTTAAATGTAAAAGGGTTGTAATGTCTCAGAAGAATGCGCAGGCTTGTGGACAACTCACCACCAAAGTTTTATGGCAATAGCATGAATGGTGGAGGCGCGCATACGGGACGTGCATACATACATCAATTTTTATACATAGATAAGCACGTTTGGTGAATCACCGCCACAAGTTGATTTTTGTTTAGATAAAATGTAAAATTATGGTCTGGGTTTATAGTGAAATTTATGGCCTACTTCAACCGAACTTTGCACACTGTATTTTTTTGAGAAAAATATGACTATTCAAATGATACGCCAATCCCGTAATTAATATTTTTTTATCATGGGAATATTATAATCAATTTTATTATTAATATTAAAATGGTGTGGTGTTAATATAATTTTATTATCTTTTCAGTTTCAGCTACCATTAGAATATCATAAAACCTCATCTTTGTGTGGGTCTTATTGAAGTTATTACCAACCATAGCCTCAGAGGCGGGAATTGAAATGATGCCTAAATAATTTGAATGTAAAATTAAATTGCATCTGAAACTGTAAAATGGTAATTTATCTTGTCTCAAGACAATGGCTGCCAAAAAGTACTCTTAATCTAGTAAATATTTATGTTACATTTTTTAAAGATACTTATTATTTTCACTTTTAATAATCATCAAAGATAGCACAAACATTTAAAAAGAATAAAACATACATCATTTCTATTTTATAATTATTTTTATTTTGTACAGTTTTATTAAATTGAAATTTTTTTTTTGTGGGGGGGGGGGGGGGGGTGCGCATGTGTGTTTGTTGATACAAAATGCAACAAAGAAAAAATTACATTAGCATACACATGATGCCATTTTGAAATTGAGGGAAGTCAGTTACTGAAAATATAGAAGGAAGACTAACTCTACTCTAAATATACCTTGAGTCATTAAGTGTTACCAGCAGTTACGTGAAATGAAACTTACGAAATAAATAATTTTAAATAATTTTTTTTTAAAGCAAAAATCTTCCTTTCTCCTTAAGTATTAAATTTAAATCAATATTTTAAAACTCAATTTTGAATCTTGTAATCACCACCATTCAGGCTAAGGTTGGAGCTTAAAAAAGGTTGTGAAGACAAAATTAGAATGAATCTTGATTAAGTTTTACTTTATCATATATTTTCAAAACAAAAATGCAGAAAATCATTAAAATTTGTAACAATGATAAGACATTTCTAAACTTTTCTTTACCTAATACTACTAATGGAATACATAATATTTTATTTATCAGAAATTAAATATGTACAAATTTCTTTCTCTACATTCGAATGATATTGCATTTAGGAAAACATTCAACAACATCCATTACTGAATTTACTGTTACACTTTTTAAACAGCTTCATTTTTAAACATAATATTACATCATATGAAATGCACTTTAGAGTTCTATTTTAAATGATACATTTATTTTCCAGATGATGATGATGATGTTTTTTTAGACAAAGAACCAACTGCTGGAATGATCGTGGCTTTGGTACCAGTAGCCATTGCTGTGAGATTGACAACACCTGGGTTTTGAGAAGCTGAGGGTATTTTTGAAACATGGATCATTCCTGCTGGCTGGGCATCCCATTTTGTCTTTCTCTTTTTTTCATCTACAAAAGAGACCGGTATAAAAAATATCATAAGAAATAAAATTTATCAAAAACTCATATCATATATTACAAGTTCTATTGGCCATAAGTTACTGGACATTGATTGAGAAAAATTAAAAATTTAGCACAAAAAATATTTTTAAAATAAATTTCTTTTAGCTTTCCAAACACTAACCTGAAGGTCCTAAACTACCATCTACTGATGCTGGTTTCTTGGTTCCTGTTAAAAATTCAATCTGTACAGAAGAAAAAAAAAAAGGAATGAAATAAGTGACATTAAGTTCATTAACATAACTAATGATAAAATAAAGCTTTGATTTTGATGCAATGATAGTATGCCTGCCCTACTGTTATACCCATAAGTACCAGGTGTGAACTTTGTCAGGTGGCCTTCCTCAGCTATTGGCAAACAGCTAAGTGGAATTTAAACTCAGCAAGGAAGTTTTCTTGCACAAAAAACCCTGGCAAACATGTATGTGGGAAGAGGGATACATGGTGCCAAATAGTACTGGTACATCACTTTAAAAGGAATACAATTGTTTATAGTGTAATGTGTACGCAGTGCATCTAAAATGGTTTCTTCCAACTTTTCTTTTTTAGAATTCACCACTCGGGCTCGGATTGTTTTGTTTTCTTTTTAAAAAGGTAAATGCAGTAAAGAAATATATATAATGTCATACCACTGGTCTCATTATCACTTGGAACATAAATCATTCAGTGAAGACACTTTCTCAATAAAAGCAATACTCACTTTGGTTCTTTCCTTTTTTTCCTTCTCTCGCCTCTCCATATCTTTTCTTTGTATTTTATCTGTTTGGTTTGGTAAGACAACAAAACAAAATATTTCCACCAATGCAGTTCAAACTGTTAAATAATAGGGAATAATTTTGTTTAAACTATAAATTCAATACAAACAAATGGTTTTATTTTTTAAATTATTTTCCTCAAATGAATTTAGTCATTCCAACATATTGATAGTGCATTTATTCTTAAATGTGAAAAAAAAATATATGACCTTGAAACCAGTTTAACAAAAAAATTATTTAAAAACCCTAAACCTTACCAAGTTCATCATAGAAAGACTCCTTTCCCCATATATGAGGGTCATATATTTCCTGCAAGAAAAATTATTTTCCTTTTAGATGTCAATTATTATTAAGCTAAATGGAAGCAACATTTTTCAACTGTTCTACATTTTAATGTAACACATGATCAACCGAGAACTTTAAGGTGATAAGGTAGCATCTGAGTTAAAATTTGACATCCCAATCAAAGCCCATGAGGCTAATGTCAGTTCAATATTATTATAATAAGGCCACTATTTTGTGTGTGTTAACTACTGCAAGATATAATATTGTTGTATCACATAATTAAATTGGATTTTCTACATTAAAAAAGGCTGTTGCAAAGAACTTCACAGAATGCTAAGAATGGAGGTATAGATTTTAAAATGATCAAGTTTGTGTGGAATGGATTTCCACAGAGTCAACCAAAAACTTAACAAATTATACAGTTCATACAAACCCCAAATTAACAAATGTATAACTTTAAACAATAATCCATTAAAATGTCTTGACATGAGGAATATTTGCTGCTTCACTCACAGTATTGGGAAATTATTTAATTTTTTCTTTTAAAAAGTAGGTAAAATTATTAAAGCCTACAATCATTTTAAGCAGTTAGTAGTTATTTTTTCTTACCGGTGGAAAATTAGTGCCTTTCTCATCAATATGACAAAAATCAATCAACTTATCATATATGCTGTGAAATAATTATAAGAGATAAATCAGTTGTCATTTTTAGTGTATAGAGTAACAATGGGCAAAAAAAAAATCATTTACAATGCTCCCTTAAAATATAACAATTCAATTTGTTTTGGTCAGATGTAAAAAACTAAAGGTACAAACTAAAATGATCCAATTTGTATAAGACTTCAATGTCAGTACATTACTTTATTTTAATGAGCAGCAAATCTACCAACCTAGGATTCCTAAATGTTTTCTTGCTCTGTATAGATCTGTTCATGTCTAGCCCTTCTCGTCTCATGCGCTCATAGTATTCTTTAATTGTTTTCTAAAGAAACATGAAACAGGAAATCCTCTAACAAAACTTTTTGACAATATTTCTTCTTTAATGGATAATTTAACACACCCAAGCAGCATATATTTACAGCCATTCATTAACCTTATTGCATCACTTGCTTTGATGTGTTGTTGATGCCTATCTTGTCATTTTGATAGCTTACTATGTTAATAATATTCAGTAGAATTTCAGTGAGAATCTGATAAATTGGGACACAACAATAATTTATTAGGACACATTGTCACTAACAGTTGGTTAACAAAATTTTAAAATAGCTTTGGATTCTTGTGGTCACCGTCTGATTGGGCTAATATGCCATAGTCGTGATTACTTGAAATCTGTATTTTCGAAAAAGTAAATTGTCACAATTAAACAAAAACTTAGCTTACCTGTAATTGCACAGAACATGGTCCTGGTGGCTCAGGGGGAATTTTAATATCATCACTGGCCATGTTCAGGACACTTCGAGATAAAATGGCTGCAATAATATTTATGGAATCAAACTTGATAATAATATTTTATCTGGAAAAAGCTCTGTGTCTAATTGTTCATTTATTATTTTTAACATTTGATTTGTTTTCAGTTTCTTGAAAGGCTATAAAATTTAATAAAATATACAACTGCAGTTATTGTTAAATCATGTCTTTAAAAATAAAACAATCAAATATACTTTTAAAAAAACAAAAAACTCATTGTTTCTGTTTAAGTCAGTTTTGAAGTTTACAATGCTGATAAAAATGGGAGTAACATTTCAAAGCTAACATACAAATAATGATATTAAATACAGGGTGAGAAACGAATCAAAATATCAATTAAAAAGTCTTTTAGAACTGAAAACTTTGTTTTAAAAAATTACTGCGTGAAACTTACAAGCATCCGTTGAAGTGAGTTCTGGACTTGCAGAATCACTGGGCTGATGAAAGATAATGTAGAATATAAATATTATTGAAAATGTATTAAAACTTTGATAATTAAATACAAATGTTACTACCTAAATGAAAAAAGAGTGATGATTATTTGTGTAGTTCTTATTTCTGAAACGAAAAAATTCAAAACATAAATATATGTGCTTACACACTGCTTAAATGGCATAGCTTCTTCATGATGTATTAACTAGATATCGATTGAACCAAGTTAGTTATGTAACATAGCACTTGACATTGGCTTACTTCTTGGTTGTCATCTATTTCATCTTCTTCACTTGTTGAACTTTCATCCACATCTTCATCTGGACCATATGATACCAGGCGAGTAGCTAAATGAGATAAATTAGAGAGCACTGAACAATTGCATTGCTATAGCTTATTTAACCTAAATGTCAAGATATTGGAAAAAAATACATTTCAAAAATAGAAAATTAAAAAAAAATAAAAGAATAAATGTGTGCTATGATTGAATTGATGTGCAACTTAAAATTTGGACTTTTGAAAAAAATTGTATGACAAAGTTAAATTGCCACTAACCTTTCTTTCCTGGCTTCAGAGATCCTTGACTTGATGGCGAGTCTGTGTTAATAGCTTCACTAACTGCCTGTTTACGTATATCATCTGGGACAATAGGTGAATGATGATGCTGATTTATTTTGTTTGAATGGTGACCATCTTCATCATCTGAGATAAGTTCAACAGGACTTATTTCTAACTCTCTCTTTTTATCAGTTTTTTCATCAATGTCTTTTTCATAATCTGCCAAAGGCACGCCTTTTTCATCAATAATTATATCAGCCATGTGAAAATCTTGCTCTGAATGTATTGTCTCTCTTGAATTAAGATCTTGTGTGCTAGACTCTTCATTAGTAACAATAACCTCTTCAGGGTTAATTCTTGAATTATTTCTAGAATCATTTTCTTCTTCATCAGAGTCTCCATAGTCCATTTGGAGTGATGAGATGGCAGATGCACTATCATTTCGTATCATTTCCATTCTTTATAGCCTAGACACAATGGGAAAGATCTTTGACAGCCTGTGAAGTGTAGAAAAAAAAAAAAAAAACTTATTAAATTGATTTTCAATAGTAGTCTATATTGGCCTACAAAAGCTTGTCAGACACTAATATTTAATAATATGCCTCACTTTTTGCCCTATCCCCTACATCAAGCAACTGTCTTCAGAAATAAATCTAAAATAATATTGACATTTTTAATAAATGTACAGAATTGCTGTGCAGTGCGTAAAAAACAACACAACTATGTGATGAAAGGGGTTCATATCTAAGAGATACACCACAGCTGCTGCGCTCAATTTTACTCTCAGCCTTATGTTTTATTTGTCATTTATCAGCAGTAAATAAGGTCTTACTTGCTTGTTTGTAAAACAGCAAGGTCAAACAAATATTGAAACAGAGTAATATCACTTTGGTTAGGCGGGAGAGGAAGTTTAGGCTCAATGTAGGTTAGCAGTAGTAGGTTAAGCTAGTTGATTTTTGTTTCATTTTTTCAATCTTAAGTCAAAAATGCTCTTTAAAACTAAAACTGTATTATTTTTATGTACACCCCCCCTCCCTTTTTTGTTTTGTTTTGTAGAAGCAGCTAATGCTACATTTAATCTGATTTAGGCTTAATGGAGTAACTTAGGCCTATGTAAGTAAGGCAGAAATGCATTCTACCACCCATTGTGTTTTAATGTTTTATGCTTAGGGCAGAGTGCTTCATGCTCTACTCGCTACCCATCGTGTATCTGCTTCTGGTGCTACTCAATATAGGGTTTAAAAAAAATAAAAGTAAGAGTTAATTCAAGACTCAAGTCAAACTAAACAATTAAAAAGTAAGTGGGGCCTAGGCCTAAAAAATATTGAAATAATTTACAAAAAGTTAGGCTTGTTAATAATAATAGTAATAATAATGGCTTATTAACATTCTGCGCGCCACTTTGAGTTTCTGTGTAGGATTCTCCCTCGTTTGTTTATTTTTTGTTTATTTTTTTATTGTTACTAGAGTTAACTTTTCTTTTTTTAATATTGATACGCCCAGGGAATGTTGCTAATATTTCATTGAGAGGTATAATATTTATAACTTGACTAAATTTTTACGGCATCATGGAATGGGTATAGACAACTTTTGGATATTATTTTTAGTGTAAAAGTGTATTCGATGAAACAGTTGGGTTTTCATTATTTTAAAAATGCTTTTTATCGTTTTTCTTCATTTTTACACTTTTTTCATCACAGTGTGTTACTGTAGCACACATTTTGGTTGAGTGAAGTGAGTGATTGCTACTTTCGCCATGAAATAAATGTACCAGATGAAATCATGCCCGGAAACGAGGCAATTGAAGATATTCCTCAAAAAAATTATTTCATTAAATTATAACGTTTTGTTACTATTTTCATTTCTCTCTGTAAGTAGCTAAAACAGACATGCGTTTGCCATGACATGTCTTACGTCAGGTTATCCGAAATTGATCGAAAGAAATTTGGTCAACGGTAAATTGATTGACGGAAATTGACCGGATCTTTTTTTCAGTTCACACGTTAAAATTTTAGTAAAATTTCTTTTTGAACACACTATACTATATAGTAAAACAAAATAATGCGTGCAAAAAGAAATTTGAAGCAATATTTTAATGTAAAAACTGAAAAAAAATTTCGACCAAATTTCCGTTCGATCATAATACTGTCGATCATTTTACCTTCTACGAAATTTCTTTCAATCAAATTTCCGGATAAGCTTACGTCTTGGCAACCAAGGTGGCGGCCTTGGGAAATGAGGGGTGCGCAGAACGCAAATTTACCATTCTAATAAAATAGAGATTAGAAGTCTAAGCCTAAAACAAATCTACTTACTTAGGTCTATAGTATTTTAAAATAATTAAAAACATTACATTCAATATGTTTTGCAGCAGCTTTATAGCTTTCTAAACTTTTTTTTTTAGAAGATTTTCAAATTCCTTTCTGTGAAATTTCTAGGCGATTAAACCACATATTTTTTGCATTGTTTTTTTTGCACATTTTAAAAATGGTAAACAAACAGCTGATTGTTTATGGCTTCCACAAGTTATACTGATACTAATATTAAGTCTGCTCACTAAAGATTTAGATATATGACTTCCGAAGAAGCAAGCCAATTAATTAGCTTGGATGATTCATTGGATTCGAATGAAAACAATGAAGAGGATTCGGACGATAGATTGCTGTCGGAAGAAGTGATGAGGAATATTCCTTCAGCCACAAAGAGACCAAAATTAGGCAAGGGAAATGGGAAAGGAAATGATGGCATCACATCTATTTCACCAACTGGACCTAGTTCTACAGTTACGCCTAGGCAATGTCTTTATCTTTACAACACCAAGAAATGAAATGGTACCAAAACAGCACAAAAAGCATGCTTTGTGTTGAATTAAGAGTTAAAAAGGCCAAAAAGAATGTTATACCAGTGTCAATTGATGCAAGGGTACGTACTACCGAAACTAAGAAAATGGACAAACCTGAAATGATTCACATTTACAATTAAAAAATGAATGGCTGTGATAAGCTAGATCAGAAAGTAACATACTCCTTCTATGATCGAAAAACCATAAAATGGTGGAAGAAGATTTTTTTCTGGTTGTAGGAAGTCACCCAGAAGAATTCCTAAATTTTGTTTTCACTACCGGATATGCCAAGCAGCAGATCAAAACAGAATGAATATGAAGTACTATGAACTTACATTGATACGTCAGCTAATTGGCAATGTAGCATGTGACTCAGTGGTAAGAACACAAGGGGAGGGCCCAGAGAAAGGCTGCCTTGAGAGGACACATGAATCGCAACCGTTTCGTCCCAGCTACAGCGTGAACTAGTCGTGTTGTGGAAGCCCACAGTGGAATCCCTCTTATAGGGCGTCCGACACTTTCCCGGGATGGGTGGGGGAAGATATTAGGACGTAAATTTTTCCATCCCAACTCCTGAGAAAGTCGATCGAGTGCACTGTTTAAACGCATAGTGTCGGATCGACCGGGTGCCCCCTGGTTGGGGTGGCCCCCAGGCGGGGTCCTGGTCGAGCGCCCAAGCGGGGGACTTGGGTGAGGGGCCCGTGTGGGGGCCGTCCTGACGAGTGGGCATCTCCAACGTGCCGCTCCGCGGCCCGATACGTCGGACCGGGGAGGGGTAATTTGGGAGGGGCATAAGAGTCTAGACTCGCCCTGCTAACGCCATTTCTTAATGTAACATACTACTAAATACGTTACATTGGGAAATGGTGTTGGTGGGCCGTCGAGCTATGTGAGCTCTTAACCCCCCCCCCCCCCACAGCACACCTCCAAACGGGTCGCTGCCGGGTCTCCTCGCCACCAGACCGCATGGAAGCACACTGGGAACCAACCGCCTGGACACGTCCGATTGACCAAAATGTTGCGTTTAAAAAGTTCGCAGCCGACTTTCCCAGAGGGTCTGGGTGGGTTTGCTTCCACTCCGGAGGAATGGTGTTGCGTTACCACCTCCTACTACTACTAAACGGATACTTCACACACTTTTATTGCACTGGTTGTGAGGCCAAACATCACCTTCATCCTAAATTATGCTTCAGGGCCTTTCACTCAAAATGATGGCCTTATTTGTTTATATGTTTGTAAATATGTGTACCATACCAGCATAGATATATTTTATTATTAACATTTAACTTTTGAAACATTTATTCAAGGCACTTGTGTTGAGAAAAAATTCATAACTTAGCGATTTCTTGAGCTATTGAATGTTTTGTTGCAATAATAGTCAAATACACTATTATTGCAACAAAACCTTACTCATACTTGGATATATAATAATAAGGCTTATTTGCTGAAAAAAGTACCTTAATCTTGATTGGATTTTTTATATTTTTATTGTTACTTTTATATAACACTGTCATATTACCCCTATGTTTTTTTTTCTATTACCATTAGATTATCAATATCATCACATTTCACTATCACTATTTTAAAATAAAAATTATTAAAAACATATTCCTTGTTTGTTCAATTAATCAATTGGTGCTATATTTGGATACACTACGTGACTACGTGACAAAGGTTTGATAAACAGAAAAAGCAGGACATCATATAGACACTTCTTTATAATTTAGAGTGAGAGCCTAAACACTACTATTACGACTACACTAACACTTCTTACAGTACTTACGCAGCAGCTTACACTTTCACAATCACTGACTTACTACTAAAGTTAAAGTTACTACCTCTCCCTCTCAGCAAAATTTACGGCGTATCGCATTTTAGTCAGGTTCTTTTTATAATTATTATAATTGATTAAAAATAACTATATATTATATTAATACTATTTCACCTGCAGATAAATTTACTGATTTTGAACTGAACTACTACAAATATAGTTTAAAGTAATAGTCGTTGACTCGTTGTCGCCACTGTTACGTTGGTAAACCAGGAGTAAACCATAAACTATAAACACAACGCGACTAAAGTTGTCTTCTCCGACACTTAAGGTAACAACTATCACCACGAAAAACTTATTTAAAATGAAAGATTACTATTTGACCTACAACTCAAAATCCTTATTTTATTTCTTTCAAACTATCTGTATAATTTCTTTTGAAAAGTTTTGTAAAAACAAAAACAAAAAACTTTGATTTTAATACAAATAAATATATTTTCTTCTATTTCGTCTAGTAGACGAGCAGCTTGGACTTAGTCAAAATAGTTAGCAGTTCTGTTCAATATAAATATGATAATATTTCATAGTATATAATATGATTACTTATAAATCGACTCAGATTACTTAGCTTACTAGGTTTATGAGTGAGATAATTTATAAAGGTATATTTATAAAAAATATATGAGTCAACATCAGAACTGCTTTAATTTGTACAATCGCGTTTATTACCTTTTCAAATATATTATTAATAATACAACGTCTGAATAGGAAAAAGTTTCAATAATAACAAAATAGGACGAACTTTTAGGCCTACATAGTCTGTTTGAAATAGTGGATTGGAATTGTAATAAATTATATTAGTCGAGCAAGGTGTACGTGCCGGTAAGGATAGAACTTCTCCAGAATGGGCTACGTTCAAATTTTTGTAAAACAGAGTAGCGTGCCCTTTGAAAACGCCCACTTTTTCTGAATGGGTTGGTTCCGGTTTCCAACAGTGTTGCTTTATGTTGTCTAACTCTTAGTTTGGTTACAAAAGTTGCATATACTATCTTACTAATTAAATGTATAACTATGGAATAGGCATATATTACCATTAATACCACAGTTCTTTTGTTTCCCCATTTTACTAGACTTCGTCAATTATGATTTAATGTGTCTATTTTAGACTAAAATAACTGTTGTTAGTGTTACTAAGTCGGTATTCAAACACAAAGAAAACAAATATGACTGGTAACAAAAATTATTGTATTGTGTGCTCCAATTACGCTGGTAAAAATCGTTGAAGGTAGAAAAGTTACTATGCATCGAATCCCTAGAGCAAAAACACTTTCAAGAATTTGGTGTTCTAGATTACAGCTTGTTCGCAAAGATTTAAAACCAGGGCAACTTAAAGGAAGAGGTAAGTGATAAGTGTAAGCACTTTTGTTTTAATTTTAAGCAACTAAAAAAAAAAAGTATTATATATAGGCAGCCTATTTGTATATATATTAATGAAACTATCAAGTTAAGCTGGTATAGTGTATGAGAGTTGAAAACTATAGTATAATGTATATTAAATTTTCAGGAACCCAATAGTAGTAATAGGCATAGGTTAAAATATACCATACTCATACTATGCAGTCTCATTTCTGTTTTAGGCAACACAAGAGTGTGTTCAGAGCATTTTCTATGGAAAAAAGGACCCTAGCCTGGTGATGACATACCTTCGGTGTTTGCTAACCGAACATACAAAACAACAGTACATGTAAGTTTAAAAAAAAAAAAAAAATTCATTTGGTTGCAAGTTTAAATATTTTTTTAATTAATGCAGAACGTTGTGTAACTTAATTTGACAATATGAACATTCATGAATTTTATTTGAGAGAACACATTGAAATAGAATTGATATTTTAATAAGACAATATGAACATTCATGGATTTTATTTAACTTTGAAATAGAATTGAAATTTTATAAATCAAACACATTGAAGTAGCACCGGTATTCAAAAGTATTGACATTTTCTTTAATGTTCACAGACTCAGCATGTCGAAGAGGCAACAGCAGAGAAGGCAACTCAAAAAGAAACTTTTTTTATTAATCAGGCTATATCAACAATACAAGGAGTATCTGTTATGTTACATGATTATTGTGGTAAAATAGATACTAAAACTTTTTGTCAGTACATATCTAATGCTGAAACACAATCACACATAAATAAATTAGATGTGTCAATGCAAACTGATGTTTTAACATACAATGTAAGTATGCAAACAGAAGACTATGGCTTTTATGCACCTTTAAGGCCAGAACATTTATTAAAGGAGGTATTTAGGTTATACACTAGTATCCCAATGCTGCGGTTTTTAATGCAATTTTTGATGAATGTATGTCTCATCTCGGTAATCTTAAAGATAGGAAAAGGGTTATGAGACCAGTTGATGAGTTTTTACTAACACTTATTAGACTGAAAATGGGGTTGCCAATGTTTGACTTGGCATTTAGATTCAGCATTTCAAAAGCAACAGCTTCTAGGGCTTTTTCAAAGTGGGTCTGTTTGCTCTACAGCAAATTGTCTTGTCTTATTTATTGGCCTACAAAAGAGCAGATAGCAAACACTTTGCCACAAAATTTTAAGAATTATTTCTCCAATACTAGAATAATAATTGACTGCACTGAATTGGAAGCTCAAAGTCCAGAATCTTTGCAGCATAAATTATTAATGTATAGTAATTACAAGTCTCACATGACATGGAAGGCCCTAGTCGGGGTTACCCCTAATGAAGTTGTACATACATTTAAATATGAAACAAACAACTGAAGTAGTACCGGTATTCAACAGTATTGACATTTTCTAATAAATAAATAAGGTACCTGGCATTTAAATATTTTTATGAAAAATCTTTTTATGAAAAGATAACATACCAGTATCAGGTAGCTATATATAATATTTACTTGTAAAAATGTGTACATATTTATTCCATTTGAAAATAAAATTGCCCAATAAAACATCATGGAAAAACTTATCTATCTATCGGTTCACTTGATACTTTTTAAAAAAATTGTGAAGTTTATGTTTACATTTTGAATTGTTCAGTTAATATAGAAGTTTCTGACGTTTAATTCTTTCAGTAATAATTTCAGGAATAATATATAAAATGTAAAATTCTTTCAGACATTTTAACATTACATTCCACAAATTTCTGTCAAAATGTATACGTTCTACTGAAATGCCCTTTGTTGTCCAGATAACAAAATCACACCAGGTTCTGCCACTTATTGCCATCTGGAAAACTTTGTATTGCAGTCAAAGTAAATTCAGATTCAATATATTCTTTCAAGGCTGCAGGATTCCTGTGTGCCATTTTATTTAAAATAGTGTACCTTTTAAAAGGTTCAATGGCGTATGGTAACTTTTCTATACTCAGCAACTTTTTACTCAAGGACTGGGAATTGCTAAAAAGTAACAGGTTAAAACTAAGCCATTTAAGATTTTTACAGGAGGATCAAAAGTTTTACCAAGAGGAGTTGAATAATTCATGCGTGTTATGCCCACACTAGAACAAGCCTGAGAAATAAAATTTAAGTCAATTTCCTTGTTGAGGAAGTCCTCCCTGAGGTTGGGTTGCAATGTCATAAATGAACTCCTAGCAGCATTTATCAGGTTAAGAAAACGAGTAAGGGATCCTTTCATCAATCTGGAGTCTGGAAAAATGTCTGCAATCCATTCATCTGCAACCTGGGAATAAGGAGAATTTGTTAACAACTGGTATTTCAAATATACTACCACAGAGCCTATCATACATACCATCTTACATAGCATGCAGCACTTGGTGTAATTGTTATCAATTGCTAATGCTGAAATTACTTGCCTGTGACCATGGATGATTTCCTTCTTCTCTGATGTATGATAACTGCACTAGTATCCTGTTGTTTGCGACAATCTCTTTTGGCAGGCCTTTAGGTCTACCTTTTCCCTTGTGCTGATATCTATCTCGAAGGATGGTGTAAGTCTCATCCACTGAAATAAGTACGGATAACATTAAAAATTTCAAATTGCGTTTTATATTTTAAACATGGAAGTGTCCCAAATATTTAAAATGTCACAATTTGGTTTTAACACATTTTTAGGATCTACTTGCGTCATTATTAAAATTGGTTAAAATATTTTTTTAAAGAAAATGTTTTTCATACCTAGTAGTATAATCAATTTCTCTGCTGCACACCATATAATTTAACAGTTCTTTCTCTGTTATGTTAGGCCACTCTGACATGATCACATCTTCCACGTCCATCCAATTTTGCAGTGATGCAACATGGAAATATTCCACACCAACCAAATCTTGCTTCTGCACTGTAAAGTCTTGATCTAAACAAAATCACATGGTTAGACACATGTCTCGTGAATTGTTTAATTATTTTTAACTAGAATCAACTTGCAAATAATGTTTGTTAAAGTTTACAGCCTAAAAAGTCACTAAGCTATAGCGTAATAAAGCATAGACTAGTTAATAGTTACTACTAATACTATTAGTCATTTGTATTTATACAACTTAGCCTGTAGATTTTGTTAGCATAATGCTAATATTCATACTGATAGGTCTGCTTAAATTGATAATTTATCAATTAATAGTTTATTTTACTAGTATTAGTAAAATTAGTGTTAGCGAAACTAGTACTAGTGTCAGGCCGTGTAACATGTAAAAACATAGCTTAATATCTTATCTATATTATTCAGACTATATACTTAAATTTAGCATTAGGCATATTAATTAGTAGTACTATTAATCAAGCCGTTGCAGTTTATGTCACGTACTAAAAAAAAAATGAATGGAATCAAAAAAATTTAATTCTACCAGTTGACTATGCCATGTTTTATACTTACACGCAAAATTTGTGTTCTCGAACTAGCGATGAGTCCCTTTTGCTCTCTTTATCAAATCATCCTTTTTCCCGTTAAGTAATTGACCTTTAGATTGAAGGTGTGATTTCAAATCCTTTACCTTCATTGAGTCAAAAACTTTTTCAGCCTCGCTATCCATAGTAATAAACCAACTCCAACTAGACGATAAACGAACCGGAACCAACCCAAGCGATCTTTTCTCCCCGAAAATAAAAAAAAATTTCGTTCGTGGATGTACCTAATAGAGATCGTATGATTTAAAAGACGCCGAATCCTAGAGGCAAAGATTAAATTATACTAAAATGGGAGAATCCAAAAGTGATTTGTTGGTAAGTAAGAGCTATGTTCTATGTTTTTTTTCATGTAATAGCATTTAAATTATGAGTAAATTGAGTAGGGGTATACTGGCCTATACTATACTAGTACTAGAATTTACTAGAAATTTAATTTTAA